TCACCCTTGTGTCCTGCAGCAGTCACTTGGAGAAGTCAGCAGCACGTTGACTTCTGATGAGTTTGAGCATGTGATGCGTGCTGTGAAAAAGTGTGCTGGGGACAATCTAAAACACTTGGAAATGTGGAAAAACAGCTTGCCATGGCTTAATGTACTGAAATTGGAGGCCCAGATTCAGTATGCACCTTATTGATGATACGTGGCATTATCATTAGGGCTGGGACAATAAATCGATGCATCGCTATTCGTGGATCGATTCTGAGATTTTCGGAATGCATCGTGATTCTCTCTCGAATCGATTCTGAGCTTAGTTTTTAACAGCAGATGGCAATCTAGACTAGTTTTTAACCGCACACTCAAATGCTCACAATGAAGAGCGCTTTTGCGTTCGGCTGAGTAATGTAAGTGGTTAAATGTAATTGCACATCGGCTTTTATGCTTTTATGATGCGAGATTAATGTAATTCATTAATGTAACATCCTTGTAATTCACTTCAACCTTTTCGAACTTTATGAATTATTATTTTAGGTTCAAATGGTGTGTGTGTAAGGAACTGGAAGCAAGCAGAATATTTGCATGCAGTGCCATCTGCTGTTAAAAACTAAACTCAGAATCGATTCAAGAGAGAATCGCGATGCCCTCGGAAAATCTCAGAATCGATGCAGAATCATTTCTCGATTTGCGAAGTTCCAGCTCTAATTATTATACTGCATCTATGTCAGTGCGTGATGTAACAAAACTGCAGTTAATAAACAAAGTTTTTTGTTTAATCCATTTGATACAATCCGCCTTCATTTGGCAAGTGCACTCGCGCAAAAACAATTTTCAATTCCAACACTTTTTGTTCCATTCAGTTGTGGATTCTGCTGATAGAGCAGCTTATTCACCGAGACCGCCGTGGCCCCGCAAAGAGACATTCGTTTGTGTGTGTGTGTGTGTTTCTTTGAAAAAGTTTCTCGGAAATACTTCTCAATTTAATAAATTTTTTCCTTACAAATAGTATTATCAGCATAACAATTTGAGTAAATAAAGCTGTATAAAAGGTAGGGAATGATGCCCCCGTCTAGAACAATGTGCATTTATGTTTAAATTGTAACATAAAATATAATATTTATGATTCTCATTTCTTTATCACAAAATGACAAAACTGGCACCGTTTTTGAGAGAAATTGGCTCTTTTTAATCTCTCTTTTTAACCCATGTCATGGTGTGTGATGCTGAAGTCCTGTATGAGTTTCTAATGGTTTTGTATTATTTGCACTGTTCTAAACATTAATATTTTATGTGCAACGATAGCATGGTCTGGCTCAGCAGCCTTACGCCAGATTTTAAGTCTGTTTTTTCAAACATTATGATTTAAATGGTCATGAGTGTACCGAGAATAATTATTTCATCTTTTCATAATTTTATAGTTTTTCAGTGTTGTTTTGATGTATTTTAAAGAGTTGGCAGTCAAAATTAAAACTGCTGGATGATAGATATTCTTCATTCTTTCTGACAAACAACAAAAGATAATGTGAATTACAGTATGTACAATGTTTTCAAATTTTTTAATTGCAGTGTAGTATAAGGGGGTAGAATCCACGGCTTAGTACTCACTACTCACTACTCATGAGTACTTTCAAATAAGCTACTCTTTTACTCTTACTCAAGTAGTTATTTGTACAAGTACTTTTTACTCTACTCGCACTATATTTTTTGGAATGTGATTGTACTTTTACTTGAATATATTTTTTCAGTACTCTTTCCACCACTGCTGATCAGTTGTGTAGTGTGCACACAACAGCAACTACATGGTGCAGTGTGAGAAGAGCAGAGAGATCTTAGCAAACTTTTGAAAGATAGTGTACATCAAATATATGATAAATGTTGGAGAATTTACTTACATTGACCTCCCATGTCTATTTTGTTGTGCTTCTTTTCATTGTACAATTGCATTTAGAGCCCCAAGTCTCAAAAACGAAAATATTCCTAAACAATGAACTTGGCATTCCTTAAAGACGAGTTAATCTTGAACAACACTCAACACACTCTCCAATTCCCACAATGCTCTGAGGTTATGGTTTCCTAGAAGAGTAACAGTAAGACAGGCATCAAAGCTCTTGCAAGAGGAGACAGCAGCTGAAACTCACTGTCGCAGACAGAGAGAGAGAGGGCAGAAAGAACCCGAAGGGAAGAAACAGGCATAAAGACAGGACAGTAACAGAGCCGCAGAACAACAGGAGTTGATGAGAAAAAGAAAGCGCTATGATACCCACTCCTAATGCAACTTCAAAGTGTCTGTTTATTCTAGTACCCATTCATGTGTCATCAAAGTGTGACACAGTTTTAAGGGACTTTGTCTCACAGCACACGGTCCAGAGTGCTCAGTTTCACTGGGACTGAATGTTTAGGGGCTCTGAATACAGTGTGTATATATATATATATATATATATACTCTTGTTTTGTCCATGCTTAAGGAAAAACACTGGCTTATCTCTAAGTAGACCAAGCAAACCATCTCAGAGGAACAGTATAGCAACACAGATGGTAATAGGGTATATTTTACAGACTCGCTCTCTCTGTCTCTCTTACACACCTTGTTGTTCTTCACACCCAGAGGTGCTGATAATAGTGCGTATCCTCAGCTGCAGCAGATTTCGTGGCAGCAGAGGTTTCTCTGAGCCCCGCGTGATAAAGCATAAGACAGATCTACGTCTCACATGTTTGTGTGAGTGTGTGTGTCTCAATTGCCAAAGGGACGTATCTCCACACTGACACCCTTACATTCTTTTGACCAGTTTCACATTGTCTCTCTATTCCTGTTATCCACTCTCTGAGGCATCAACTGGAACCTCCTTTGGTTTTGTGTATTTGAGCGTCATAAGAAATTATCACCATCAATCCTTCAACCTATGTTCTTTTTTTATATTTTGTAGGCTGCTATTTTCACAACTGGTTAAAACCCCCAAATTAAAGATTGGTGGAGGAAGATCCTCACAAAAAAATGGATGTCCAAAATAAAAAAACATACATGTATTACAGGTCAAAAAGATTTACACTAGGTGAATTGAAAAGTGTAGCTCATCTTCCACATCCAATGTGATGAGATTTCATGAAATTGAGAAACCTGAAATTGGAACCAAATGATTTTCTGACATGTTTAGTATTGCTGGAGGCTGAACATTGTGTATGTCTGAGCTGGATGATACCAAGCTGTATTTCTTTTCAGGGTTTCATTCTGGTGCTCAGGTGATTACATATTTGCACACACACATCTATCAGATGAAATCAGCAATGGCTTTACAAAGCTGTTTTTAATATTGATAGATTGCCTGCTAAGGTTGTATTGGTTTGGGGTTATGGGTTCTTCTGGGGTTTATGCACTACATACATGAAGGACACCTCTTTTTTTGTTAGTATATTTATTTTGTTTAAAAATATATGAGTAATAAAGAATTTTCATTTTTGGGTGGATCGTTCCTTAATTAAATCAACTGATTTCAGTGCAGTTAATTATAGTAATTTTCAGGTTTTATGTTCTTCTAAATTTCATATAACAATACGATTATATGTAATTCAATTACTCAAATAAAATTTTCATGGATATTGCTAAATGTTTTGCTGTAGTTTATGAAAAAAAATCAATGTGAAAGAATTCCTCCATTTTTTAATAAAAAGGGTTAAATGTAGTAATAATGTCGTAATAACATTGTAACATCCAACACTGATGTTTTGGCACATTCACTCACTTATGAGTATTTTTTAATCATATCACCTTTGCTTATTAGAGACGTATGAAGAGGCAGAAGGTGAGAGAGAGTTGGGGTTTGGCTCATCACCCTCATTATTAATCTAGTTGGCAGAGTTTCATAGTCCTAATACTCCTCAGTACTGCTCACTAAACACTGGAGCTATAGAGCTCACAGGAATAATGTACCTTTCTCTGTGTAGGACGGAGTCGGATATAATTTGAAGGACAAAATAAGAGAGAACGTACAAGCTAAAATGACAGAGGAAGAGCGAGACAGATAGACTTAGAGATCAAGATGTGCAGTGATGTAAAGGTCGTGTAAGCAAAGCATTAAAAGTTCAGCCCAGTAGCCATTCAAAAATACTGAATTAGCCATCACATAAATCATCTCGCAGCACCGCTGTCACATTTTTCCTGTAGGAAACCAACAATTTCAGAAGAGATATGAGCGAAGGTGATTTCTCTTTAGATTCTGCTACTCCTCTTTAATCAGAGGCTGTGATATCCCACAACCCCTGTCTCATCTCCCGCAAGTCTCTAATGTATATGTTTTTGAAGAAGGGCCAGATCAGTAGTCTATAGGCTTATCCAGCACAATTTGAATGCTCTGCCACCTGCAGTTATGGCTTGTGGACACATTGACACTGGCAAACGATTTAGCGAATTGGCTTTCTAAGCTAACAGGCTGTACTGTTTGTGAATTCATTACAAACTTGCAGTGTTAAATAGCATGTGAACTGTTTTCTTTTCAGTAGCTTTCGGACTCAGTCTTTTCTTTGTATAAACCCTGCTAATAAGTATTAATTAATCATTTTGATATATCACATTTGAAATTATTAACCCTGGTTTCACACTGTTCATACTTTTTCCTGGCTTAATAATTCATCCCAGTTTTCAATATTTCTTACTGTTAACTTGTAAACTCTTGGTTAATGTTCTTATTTGCATATTTATGAGGTCAGTTTGCAATGTCCACTTAGTGTTATCAACCTCATAAAATGCAAACCTGAATACCACTTGTGATGGGAACCGCAAAGGCTTATAGTTTTTCATAAGCCAGGGTTAAAAGCAGTGCTAACCTTCAAAATTACAAGTGTGAACCATTGATTTACCCAGAGTTAAAAGTGGCCTTAGTCCAGATTTTGACAATAAGCCAGTGTTATGCACTGTGTAACAGCCCTTTTCTCTCCCTCTTTATTTATTTATGTTTTTTATGATACGTTGTGATAAGATTAAGGTGTAAATATAGTTTCTCCCTCTTTCCCAGGGACTCATTGGAGAGAAGTACGGTAGCATGCGGGTCCCAGGGGAGGTGGAGTCGGCTGAGTTTGAGATGATTTTGGATGCGGCGGTGGAGGCGGGACTAGACACACGGATCTTGGAGGAGTGGTATTGTCGGGATGAGAACTCGGTCCCGCCTGCCTACTACCTAAAACCAAAAGCTGAGATACTGAAGAACTACCAGAACTCTGTAAGTAGAGCAGGAAGGAGAGAATATATTTGAAGAAATTGGGATACCTTTTCATTTTTAGAAACAATGAAAACCCTTCTTTATAATTAAAAGTATAGCTAATTCCAAAGTACACAGTACAAAAGTACAAAAATGCTGGTTACCACATTTTACAGTGTATATAATCATCTTGTAGTATCATACTATATAATTATTATTATTATATACGATAATACATTTGCAACATGATCATTCAGAAATCATTCTAATACTCAAGAAACATGGTGCTCAAGAAACATTTCTTTATCAAGAGTTTAAAACGGTTGTGCTGCTTAACATATTTTGTGAAATGCGTGATACATTTTTTCATTACTCTTTCATAAGAAATGTCTTCACTGTCTCTTTTGAGCAATTTAATGCATACTTTCTAAATAAAATTTCTTTAAAAAAAATATTACAGACCCCAAACTTTTGAATGGTAAAGTATGTCAAGTTATATTTTTGGATTGTCACAATTGAAAGAAATTTAACATTTTTCATTTGAATATCAATTGAACAAATTATGATTTTAATTATTGAATACAATCAAAATCTTTGAGGTAGGACAGGCTAAATTCCAATTTAGGGTGAGCAGGCATACAGATGCAAAAAATGACTAATGTTTAGTATTGTTTGTTTGTCGATTTTCCCAAGTGTAAGGTGTTCCATTAACCCAGAAACTGTGTAAACAGCAAATACAACTGGAACATGAATTCAAATTAGAATAATAAGAACACCCAAACCCAAACAGGAGATGTTAACACTTCATTTCAGAAATACAGTACACACCACTGCTTTTGAGGCACATGAGAGGGCATCCAGAATTACGTTGAGCTTCCAGCAGACCTGACCTGTCCTGCACACACAGGAACAACCTGTAAATGTCAGTGGCTGACCGGTGATGTTGCTGTTTTATATGGAGCACTGTAGAAATGGCAGGCCCGTGAGAGAACACTGTTCACTGCATATAGAGTTTATTAGCTTCATAAATTCTGTTTGTCTTTCATTAAACCCTAATGAGGCTCTCTCTTCCTTTCTTACACACACACACACACACACAAATTCTGTTTCGCTTTCTGTCACCCATACACACACACAGATCATATAGTGTTGTATAAATCAGGTTGTAATGCAGAGTGGCTGCAAATTGAAGGAGCGTCTGTGAAGCTGAGGGTCTCTGTTGGACTAAAATGAGAAAAGCAGCAGGGACTGAGTTTCTACCTGCACTCAGCAGAAACACCCACTGATCTCTCTCTCTCTCTCTCTCTCTCTCTCTCTCTCTCTCTCTCTTCCTTCCTCTCTCTCTATGTGTTTCTGTCTTCTTTCTCTCTGGTAGGTGACTGGGTTCATGACAAACACTTCCTAAAAAATTACTTCAGTAACACAGTGTGGTGTCTGCTTTCACTTTCTCTGTTCAAGCAGACAGAGTCATTTGTATTGTTGGGTGAACTCTAGTAAATTGGACTCCTTTTGACATCCCGCTACAGGATTTGGCTTTCACCGTGGACGAAGCAGAGTCCAGCCCGGGGTCGTCACATGTGGTTGCCGCAAGCCCTCTGGACGCTCCTTCATTAAATCCGCCGGTCGCGCCGTTCTCAAGCCCGCCTGCCTCTGCTCACTCTAGGCCGCAGCTCACTCTAGGCCTCCGGCCTCCACTCACTCAAGGCCACGGTGTGTGACGTTGTGAAAGCGAAACTACTTTGTTTGGCCTTCCAAAAGAGGACACGACTAGAAATCAGTGGTTAAGTTGTGTTTACAACACTGTTCCAGAACACTTCAACCCAAATATTCAGATGTGTGCAGCGCATTTTATGGAGGACTGTTTCCTGATCCTGGTAGAGTAGAGTACAATGCCGGCTGTTCTGACTCACTGTAAGTAAGTTTTTTATTTTCAAAGAATTTGCCACTGACAATTCAAACGCGAGTTTTGAGCAGTGTAGAGCAGCGCTTGTTGTTTGTAATTTCTCCGATCACAAATGCAGACATGGTTTTATGTTTACGTGGCGCGATACAACGTGTAAAAAGACAGTATAAGTCATTATAATCCATAATTATGTCCTCACTGGATGCAACAAATGCCTGCTTTATAATGGGTTTTAATGTTTTTGTCTCGGTGCTCCGGCCGGGGCACGCCATCACAGTATGGTAAGAGGCGTAACATTTCCGTCACACGCTTGAGGTATTCGGCCAATCACAACGCACTGGATAGCTGGCCAATCAGAGCACACCTCACTTTTCAGACCGATGAGCTTTGTAAAAATCGACACGTTTCAGAAAGGTGGGGCATAGAGGAGAAATAATAATGTACAGTATGTGGAAAATAATGTGTTTTTTTAACCTTAAACCGCATAAACATTTCATTACACCAAATACACAAAATAATGTTATTTTTAGCAGCATCATATGACCCCTTTAACCATTATACAGAATGACGAAAATGTGATTAATGAAATAATGAAAATATTTCATTGACTAAAAAACCTGACTAAAATGCTCATACATTTCATTGAATAAACAAAAACAGGACAAGTTTGTCTAAATATGATAACTAAAATATACATTTGAGTAAGACTAAGACTAAATTAAAAATGGCTGCCAAAATTAACACTGCTGTATGGTTAATTAATAATAATCTTATTGCTAAAATGTCAAGTTTTCATTGACTAAAACTAGACTAAAATACTTCAGGTTTTCTTCGACTAAAACTAGACTAAAATGTTGAGACTTTTAGTCGACTAAAACTTGACTAAAACTAAATAAGATAAGGTTGACTAAATATGATAAAAACGAACAAGGACATTTTAGCCCAAGACTAAGACTAAAATGAAAATAGCTGACAAAATTAACACTACTGTCAACCTAGACAATTTTGAACGGGCCATTGTCATAATTAACCCATTTTTAAAAAATTTACAAAAAAAATACAAATAAAATTTGCCACCTAAGATATGTCAGTGTCTCTACATTAGGACCGTGATTCTGTTACGCTGCTCTGATTGGGCATTGTCGTCACATGACAACAATAAATAACAGAAGGGGACCTAAAGTCCTTGCTATTTTTTTGCTTATTTACTGTATATGATTCTATTGCAGACATTTACAACATGCTATAGTTAGTATGAGTTTAAAGTAGTTTACACACTGCCTTTATACACATATGGGATGGAACTAAACTCTGCAGGACAGCGGCTCTCCAGCATCTTTTGTGAGCAATGTGTGAAGCAATTTCCAGCTAGGCACATGAAGGAAATCTGACGGTCTTAAAAGGCACCGTTTCACTTTAAACGTTTCAATGGTGTTTGATGCTTAACATTTAGGATGTTTGTCTGTAAAATTGCATGCATAATTTAAAAAGGCTGAATCATGCTACAGAGCCATAGTTTATAGCTTTGTGGTTTCAAAGTGAGATCATATTCAAAGCTCATAATGAATGTAAATGTTATTTTTATTCCGCTCTTGAAAGTCATTGTGACTAAATTAAAATCCGCCCGCATTAGCCATCATAAGAGGAGATCTAATCAGGCTAACTTAATTCATCCAGGTTAATCCAATATTCAGTGACACAGTTAGGTCTCATCACCATACCCCACATTAGAGAAAGAACAGATTTACTGCTTGCTCTTTAATGTCATTCTGAGTGCATGGGCTTATAATTCAATCACTGATACAGTTAAGTCTTCATCTCGACATGCAGTAGATATGAAACAACTGCATTCAAGAGGATCCCCTAAGTGAGGCATTTCTTTTTTTTATGTAATGAACAATTTATTCTCAGTCGCAGAGGTTCCTTTCATTAAAATTGAGGTTTTCTGTCTGACTTCAGAGCATCAGTGAGTTCCCTGATCTGCATGTGCACTCTGATGTCTGACGGATGTGGCATCTTGTGGATCTTTATTAAAAAAGTATCACTGGAATCACATTTTACAAAATAAATAAATATGCAGTTCAAAATAAAAGACAGTAATGTTGGTCGGAGATCAGATTGCCTGCTGACTGCTGATCAGTTTATTTGGTAACATTAGACATCACATGCAATGACAAAAGATCGAGTATGAGGTAGTTTGATATAGTATGTATTAAATTTGTTACATTAAGTGTAATACATACTTATTTTGAATAAATAAATTTGAATGGTAGTACTATATTTTCATATTGAAAGTATTTTCCAAAACTTCTTGTGTGAATGTATGAAAATAATGATATTGGCTTCAGTATTGAACTATACTCAATTGCTGTAGTAGGCATTTTACAATATTTAGCTTTTTGCATATTTTGTCATTTTATGATTACAATAAAATAAAATAAATGTTATAATTATACTTTATTATATATTAAACAGTTCTTTAATTCCGGTGATGACAAAGCTAAATTTTCAGTAGACATTACTTGAGTCTAACTCAATCTAATTTGAGTCTGCTAATTTGGTGCTCAAGAAACAAGTCTGATCAATACTATCAATATTGAAAACAGTTATGCTGCTTAATATTTTTGTGGAAAATACATTTGAATACTTTTTTATGAATAAAACAACATTTACTATTTATAATATTTATACAATATGAATGTCTTTTGATCGATTGAATGCTGAATGAAAGTTTTTTTTTTTTGTCAAAACAAACAAAAAAAACTACTGAATGGTTGTGTATATAGGGTATATATAATTTATTTTAATTTCTTTAAGCAGGTACTCTATTTGTTTTTTTAATGTGGTTTCTATTTTGATTACTAAAACCAGAGTGAGGAAAGTACATGTGAGATTTAACTGAGGTAACGCTTTCCTGGGGGATCTGCAGCCATTTACTTGCCGTCTTTGCATGCCCCTCTCCTCTCGTTTACAAAGCAAGCTGCAAGTATGCGATACTAAGCTGACGAGGTTGGCAGGCGTTCACTGGAATGATGCCTTTGGAGGTCTTTGATAAAACCAGGCGAGGCTGGATTAAAAGATCATATCACTTTTTTCTTCGTCAAGGCAGCTCAGAGAGATGGATCTAATCATTTGCTAAAGACTGGCAAACGCGGGGGAAGCGCTCACCTCATGACATCAAATTAAGCATGTTTTCTGAAAGTGCCACTGAAGTGTTTTGGGAGTAAATAGTGGCAGGGATGAAAACCATGAATTAAAAGAAACATTCTGTCATGCAGAACTGGGTAATTATTATGCTCTTTCTGGTTTTTCTCCTGTCTTTCAGCATTAGAGGATGAACTGGATTTCGCACTGGGCAAGCAAACCCCAGCTTTCCTCAAGAAATGTGTATGTTACATCCGGAAGATATCCAACTTTGACCGTTTCGCTAAACTCCCTGAGATGGCACGCTACATGGACATCGTGATGAGCACCGACCATGTCATGAGAAACCAAGAAGCCTATGAGCGTCTTCTGAAAGTCAGAGATGAGTTCATTCCAATGGTGGTGGCAGCATCCAATCTTCGAGTCTACTCGTCGGTCACTCACTGTGACATGAAACTTGGCTACTCACAGGAAGTAGAGAGCCACTACGTCGAAGGTCTGTGTAAACAGTTTTATGAAGACATGGTGGATATCATCCAGGCCACGGTCCAACAGAACTTTGACACAGAGACAGATCCACTGTATGATGAAATCATACAGCATCTGTCGTTGTGCAAGACTTTTTCATCTTTTTATGTGTACAAGAGTGAAGCCTTGGACATAGTCCAGGAGTACCTGTACCCCTCCAAAGGTGGTCGAATAACCCCCCTAGTGGTGTATGGAGGACCCTGCACTGGAAAGACATTGTTACTTGCTGAAGTGGCAAAACAGGTGAAGAGCATGTATAATATGCACGTATGTGTGTGTGTGGGTGAGAGAGAAAGCATGTGTGAACATACTGACCTGCTTTTTAAGGCCATCTGGATGCCGGCACATGTTAGATTAATGCTGCGGGATGCCGGTATTTAGCCTAAAGCTGTTCTTTGCTTCCTCTGACTTAATATCTGATGTCATGGCATGAGATTCAGTTAACATTAAGGTATTTTGTGCTGCTGTTACATGAATGTGTCTGCCATAACAAAATGTGTGCATTCCCATGAATCTGTAGGCACACAGTAGTCCAAATACATTGCATTCAACAAGCTTAAAAAAATGCTGATTTAATTGATAATAATAATTAGATATAATTACTCGTATCTGTCAGCTTCAGCCAATACTTAGGGCTTAGGGAGATCAGTGGTGTGCCTGTGTTATGTGTTGATGGTCAGAATTGACAGTGTTGATCAAGTTTGGGGGTGAGGAACAAAGGGAGGAAGGGTAGTGTTGACATTTCCCATCACCCATGGCAACCCGTCACAGACCTCAGCCTCTAATGTTAGTTCACAGATGATGAGCCTGGGGACCTTGACTAACTCCCTCGTCCTTGCTTATGCTCTCTCTTTCTCTCTCTCTCTCACTCACTATCCTTCTATGTAACATACACACTACACAGAGACAGATACTCTAAAATATTTATATATGAAATGCAATTTGCATGCCCACACATTGCATGCACTTTTTATAATCTAGGGTGTGTTTCTGTGTCATGCAAATTAGTCTCTTAGCCTGACCTCATGTTTGGTACAGCTGGCATGTTTTTATACTGCCCTTGTCAGTGCAGTACGGTACTAAGAATCATGCAGCAAATATGAGCACAGTGATGCATTCAAGTAGCAATCTGGACACATACCCCTTGGCTAATCATGCAAACTCACAGATACACAATCCTCTTGCAGATGGTGACTTTGGAAAAGCATTTTATCATTAATTATCAGCCACTCCAGACAGAGAGAAATACAATTTCATGTTTCCCTGAATCACTGCTGGGGGCACCCTTTAACCACATCCAAGAAAGTATCGTGCAAAGGATGAGGGAACGTTTCAAATTGATTTAGAACATCCTCAGCGCAAGAAATCCAGTGCTGACTCTATTGCTGTTGAGTACATTTGATTATTTGCGATACAGTCATTCGTCTTAGTTTTCCTTCCTCATACTCTGAGTTGTCAAAGTTAGAGTACAGTAAGTAGATCTACTAAATAATGGATGGACTGGATTTACTCAAGTTTTGTGTGCTAGAATCATACTTAAAATAACGTTGCTCTAGGTCAGTTTCTGGATTTTTAACCATGTTTGTTTTTATAACAATAGGACACAATATCCTGTTAAACGTTAAATAATAATGTATACAGTAGTTGTATTTTATATGTACTATATCTATTTGCAAATGGCCAAGCTTCTAAAATCTGATTACAAAATTACCACTTTTGCACAAAATAACATCTTGAGCTTTTCCTAACTGTATATAAATAAAAAATATGAATTAACATACTGGAAAACATTCAATAAACTATACGTAAATGCTGTATTTCTAAACTTCTGTTTCATTTTCATTTGTTTAGGCTTATTCATGGCTACAGAAAGAGATGGGACCAGAAACAGACCCGGTGGTCATTGTCAGATTCATCGGCTCCACAGACTTCTCTACTGACCTCCGCACCCTGCTACAGAGTATCTGTGAGCAGATTGCCATCAACTATCGGTGCCTGATCCACTTCTTACCTAACAAGATCCAGGAGATGAGGGAATTGCTAGTGAATTTGCTTGGGGAGTCATCATTCCACCGACCTCTTGTCATCATTCTGGATGCCTTGGAGCAGTTGGCAGATGTTGACGAGGCCCGAAAGCTGTGGTGGCTGCCTGTCCACCTGCCACGTACAGTCCGAATTGTAGTGTCCACCCTACCCAACAAGTATGGGATACTCCAGAAATTACGTTGCCTGATACATGATGAGGATGCCTATGTTGAACTGATGCAAAGAGATCGCAAAGCTTGCAGTCAGACGCTTAAACAGCAGCTTCTAGGTGTCAAAAGGAAGGTGACCTCAGGCCAACAGATATATGTGAATGAGGCAATGGCAAAATGTACACTCCCCATGTTTGTCAACCTCATCTACCGAGAGGTAGTTCACTGGCGGTCGCACAAAGATGTGGATGACAAATCATTGTGTTCTACAGTGCACGAAAGCATTGAGCAGCTTTTCTACTCTACTGAAAACAAGCTTGGCTCACGCTTTGTCTTTCGGGCACTGGGCTACATCACAATGGCACGGGCAGGCCTGACAGAGCTGGAGCTTGAGGATATCTTATCTTTGGACAACAGTGTCCTTGGGGACATCATGGTGAGCTCTAATCTTAAAAGCCCATTGCGTATTTCTTATGATTTCATAGCCAGGCTAAAAGAAGAACTAGAAGGTTATTTAGTGGAGCGTCAAGTACATAATGTAACACTAATGGTTTGGGCAAATCGCCACCTGCATCTTATAGCACAGAAGCTATACCTTAGTAATGAAGAAGATGTACATCAAATGCATAGCCTTTTGGCTGAGTACTTCCTTGGAGCATGGGCAGGTGGTAGAAAGAAGATATTCCATTGCGACAATAATCACTTCGCTTCACTGAATATCTCACACCATCAAAACCCTCATCACCAGCAGAGCCTTCATGGCCATGACAAAGCTTCTGCTGACAAGCACTCTTATGACAGACAGACACCCGAACAACCCTGGGTGTTCCAGTGTAACTTGCTAGAGCCGGACATCTTCTTTGTCAACCATCGAAAGATGATGGAGCTCACATACCACCTGACAAGGAGTGGCCGGACAGATGATCTCATGTATGGTGTCATCATGAACTTTAGCTGGCTCTACACTATGATAAAGATAGGGCAGTTTGACAAGGCCCTGTCAGACATTGACCTAGCTTACAGCTACACTCAAGAAAAGGAGCTAAAGTTTCTTGCAACTACGCTCCGCAGTATAAAGCTTAAAGTAACAAAGAATCCTGCATCTCTGTCTGCTGAACTACAGCAAAGGCTCCTTCCAGTTGTCACATCTCTTCCCAAGCTCAGACACCTCATTCTTGAATGTGACAAGGATGGTCCTAAATACTGCTCCATTGTGCCACTGCACTCTTCCATGGATGTCACCTACAGTCCAGAGAGATTACCACTCTGTTCTAGCTACATGCAAATAGTCGAGATTCTACCTACATTAGCTCCAAACATAGTCATTGTGGCCCTCGAAGATGGATCCGTCAGCACATGGGATGTTGAGAGTAGACAGTTGATAAGACAGATAGACACAGCGAAGTCGGTTGTTCTTGGCATCAGGCTAACCACAGATGAGAAGTATCTGGTAGTGGCCACCACAAAAAACACACTGCTCATTTACGACAACCACAAATCCTGCTTGTTGTCAGAGGTGGAGGTGAAAGGGTCCAAGCACTGTGGCATCACTGGTGGGGTAGCGTTCATCAATGGATTCAACTTGTCCAGCCACCATGCCTTAGCTTGGCTGGAAGCAAGCAAAGACGTCAATGTGATTGATTTGCTCTATGGTTGGCCGTTGTATCAGTTCCATTGCTGGTATGAGGTAACCTGTGTCCAGTGTTCCCCAGATGGAATGTATGCTTTCTGCGGACAGTATCTCAACACAACCACCATATTCCACCTTGGTAGTGGGGACAAGCTTGCTACAATGACTTCTGAATTCTCTGGTGGATTTGTTAAGTCCATCCTGATTCTAGACACAATCCATCAAATGGTGATGATAGACAATGAGGGCAGTCTCTCCGTGTGGAACACCAAAGATATCACAAATCCCAAGCTGATGGAGGATTATGACTGCAGAGGAGATGAGAGCGAAGTGGTGGGCATAGAGCTCTCTGAGGATCAACGATCCATCCTCATCTGCAAAGCAAGAAGCATTGAGGTGCTGGACACCAAGATTTGGAAGATGGCAGAGAAGTTCAAGGCCAAGCGTAGTGAAAAGTTTGTGGCGGCCGTTCTCTCCAAGAATAGCCAAAGCATAATAGCTTCCATGGAGAACACATCATCCATATTTGTGTGGAGGAGAGACAGTGGACAGTGCATGGCCAGCTTGATAGAGATATCTGGAGCCATTGTAAAATTTATCAAATCAACACACCATAACTTGCTGCTGTCTGTAGCCAGCAGTGGCGTACTTTCCGTGTGGGATATTGACATTATAACAGCCATGTCGAACATTGATAAAACTGGTAAACCTATTCAAAGTCTGCAGCTCTCTGGCAGAGAGGATTTTGTGTACACCATGGATGGGTCAGAGGTCATCCATAAGTGGAACTACAGCACAGGTTTCATTGAGATGGTGTTCAAGCATGAAGGCCTTGTTGAAAACTGCGTCTTGACAACATCGGGTGACTTAATGGTGACATCTGATGATAAAAGTAGTCAGTACATCTGGCATACAACCACAGGTGAGAATATATTCCGTATCAATGGTCAGAAGATCTCACAGCTTCTCGTCACACACAATGACCAGTTTGTAGTATCCCTTTGCGAGCAGAATGCCTCCCGCGTTTGGAGGCTTGCGACTGGTCACAAGGTGTGCAACATTCTAGTAACACTCCAGCATGCCCTCATTACCACAGCAAACACATTCCTTGTGGGAACCAACAAGAATAAGCTGTTGGCTGTTAGCTTGTGGTCAGGCAGTGTATCCAAAAAGTTTATATGTGACGACGGGATCACAATTGTTAACTTCAAGTTAGTTCCTGACAGTCCAGATTATGTCATCTTCATCACCTCCACAGAAACAGTTTTCATCTGGAGTGTTGCCGACGAATCGGTGTGTAGGCGGGTGCAGCTGCCTAGCAACTTTTTGAAGAACCTGGAGGATTTCCAAATATCACCAAATGGGAAATTGGGCATTGTGTCGAAAGGTGATGAGAACATTAATGTCCTAGACCTGCACAGTGGTAAACTGCGTCTGGTACATGCTGCTGGCATAATCTGGCGGCAAAAGCTCTCACGAGATGGACGCTACTTAGTGTACATCTGTTTCCAGAATTGCGATGAAGATGATGATGCAGGTGTGGTTTCAAGTCTGATTGTCATGAGATTGGCAGATGGTAAGAGCATCGGGACCTGTTCCCTCTATAAAACGCCAACCTATCTGTGCCTATCACAGCGAGCACTTAACATCATTGTGGGATTTGAGGATGGCAGCATTGGCACCTACACAGTCGTAGACCGTGTGGATGCGGCTCTGAAAATCAAGATCGCCACCTCAAACAGTCGCCAAATAGTTAACAATGCCTCACAGAAAGTACGACCTAGGTGTAGCACCAATGCCTTCAAGACCATTGCTGACTGTATGTGGAGAGAATCCACCGAGGTCTTCTCTCGGGACAGTCCTATCAACGTCTCTGACAGTGGAGAGCCAGAGTCAACAACACCCACAAAGAAAACTGAACTGCTGCAATGAGAGCGCCCTCTGTAGGACATTAACAGGCATGAAGGAACAAGGCCAGGTTTGGATACAGGTGATTATTGTTTACAGCAACTTTGATTCAGCTGCACAGATCAGTTCTCTGGATAACACACAGTAACTGGCCAATTGCTATTAAGCTGCACTTAAGCTTCAATCAGTCACCTTGATTTCTCTTATCCATCATCAACTTACTGTCAAATGTGTTCACTGAATTGAATATCACATTAAGGAACAAAATTAATTGCTGTGTGTGGCCATATAGTTCAGATTTTGTATGAGTTTAGTCAAATCAAGCCATAACGTCACTTTATACAGAAGCATAGAGAAATGTAAAATATTTGTAGCCATATAAAAGTTGCTGCCTTTTTTTTTTTACATTAATTTGCGTCTGTTTAATAACGTCCTCTGGTACTGTACTAAAATGGAAACTTGTGTACATATGTGTACATATGTACTTTGGCTGCTGCAGTTTGTGCAACTACTTAAATATATGTTATGTTGTGCTAAATGCAATCAAAGCGAGTGCCTGGATTTTAATCTTTCTTTGTTACAGAAACTGATGAAGAAAAATTTGCAGGGAATTTCTAAACAAAGATACATTGATACAAATATTCATCATTACGGTTCAGCATACAATGAACATTTAGCATACAATGCATACAAATTTGCTTAATTTGAAATTACAGCATCTAAATGAGGATCATTGGAAAGTACATTTCAGTATTCAGGTATTCAGAGTGTAGTCTGGAGTCATTATGAGCTTCTTAGTAATTTCAGAATGCGTTCTAGACTTGCTCTGACCAAAGTGTCATGGAATGTGTTTTAGACTTTATCTAACCAACATGGTATGGAGCTTCTTAGTAATTTGAGACTACAAATGAGCTTCTTAGTAATTTTAGAATGTGTTCTAGACTTTGTCTGACCAAAGTGACATGGAAGTCCATGAGTCCATGTGTGGAATTTGCTCAAAATGACAGACAGTATTAAACCCATCCTCATATTTAATTCTAAAACTGATACTGAGAAGGTCATCCTCTGACTTGACTAAATCCAAGAATAGTATTAATAGTATTAATGGTGTTACTTTTAAAGAATGTGCAATTCGTTGTATCAAAGGGCAGTACAGTTGTATCAATCTACAAATGTTGAGTACTGATTCAAGGACTAAACCACTGTTAAAGAGTCATGTGTAGCATCTCACCAAGAGATTCTACGCCTTAACAGTTGGGTCATCTTATACAAACATGTATTTGTAATTGTTCTTTGTGAGGTAAAGGTTGATTGATTGTGTGCTTGAAAAAAAATAATACTTTGTACTTTCATGTTATAGATGACTTGGAGATATTTATGAATAGACTATATGTTATCATAAACAAGGTTGATTTATGAATGGTGTTTGCCAAGGCAGTGTTTGGTGGTTGCACTTTATTTTAAATGGGTTGTTCACTGAGGTTCACTTTGAATAAGTGTGTCATGAATGCTAACTATACGATTTTTGCCTTCAGTTATGGGTGTTCTCTGGCATGTCGCAAAAGAAAGTAGTTTCAACAAAACGATCAGCCATGCCCCATTCATACTCTTCTCTCCATAACTCAAGGGCTATTCCGTCAAATTGTATGTTTACCTCTGGAAATACTGACACATAGGCCCATTTACAACCCACAACCTGTAGCAGTGTTCAGGTGTGATTAGCTTCTCCCACTGAAGTGTGTAAAACCTATAGATATCATACAATCTTTGCCAAAGTTTTGTTAATTTTTTTAATTATAATTATTTGTTTTCAGAATGTCAAATGGTGTTGTTTGTGACCCTACTTGTTACTTTTCTGGACTTTTCTGGCTTTGTTGTGTTTTCTAGCATAACTATGAGAACATGCATTATCTTTGCTAAGATATTGATAAAGTCCATCTCTATTATATTGGAATGCCAGTTTTAGAGTATATTTGAATGTGTCGATATGAGAGCAGTTGAACAGCATATTAAATGTTATGTAACTTGAATGACTTTTAACTACGTGTTTGCAAAACATAGTTCACATACTGGTATTGAATGTGTTTATCGTATTATTTGTATTGTCAGGACTGAAGATCCCTGTTTAGAGATATATATTTTCATAAATGTTGTACTTACATTTTGTTACAAAGATGTTTAAGTATTCTAGAACAAAAAATAGCAGAAAAAATGTGTCTGAAAGCAATATGACTTAGTGTGTATGCATTGTTTGTATGGAACATTTTAATGTAATAAAATGGTTTTCTTTCTGCCTCTTAAATCTCATTGTATTTCATCTGGATATATTGGTCTTCCTTTGGAAAGAAAACACAAGACATTTGGTTCTTTGAAAGGTTGTAGTGGTTTATAGATATATAAATGTACATACGTTTGCAAAAACCTGCTATGATACAGTTATACCTTTTCTATATAGCTGATACAAATCTTCATTTAACTTGGTTTATCATAATGACCCCTCAAGAGGCATGTTGTTTACACGAGGAATGCTTTGCTAAAAGGATTCCTTACGTAGCACAATCAGAAACTGAGATGCTGAATGATTTGACTGATAATAGTTTTACTCCCCTGTGCAGTGTGCAAACAAGTGTGTTAAATATTTTCCAAACAGTGGGCACGTATCAATATTTCAATTACTGCTTGCACACACCTGGATTCTTTCACACATGTCTGTTGCAGTGCAGTTAACAATACACAAACACCACCATAAACAAATAGTAGCTCAGGGCAGGAATGCTGGTGTGTATTCTCTATGGAAACTCAACACTCAGTGGAATCAGCCCCCTGTTGTGATGACTATGGAACTGGCATATCAACATTGTGTATTGGGGAAAAACAAATGCAATTTTTTTTATACATAAACTCATCACAGCATAGACACTCTTAGTCATCTCTCTCTGGGAAGTCACTGCGCTGTAACCGAGCAAATGACATCAAATAGTCAATATTTGTACTGCTAAATATACCACATTTATTCTGATCATCCTCCAGTTTCTGCTTTCATTTCCTGGTGCAAGTAGTTTCCTAGTACAAGGAATACTATACTATACTATAGAGTACAGTATAGTTGTAAATTAATAGAAACACTTCTGATACACACTACCATTAAAAAGTGTAATTTATGTATTTATTTTATTTACATTTTTATTAATTCCTATAATGGCAAAAATGAATTTGAAAATGAATTCAGCAGACATTACTCCAGTTCAGAAATCATTCCAATATGCTGACTTTGTTCTCAAGAAACATTTCTTATTATATAATTCTTCATGAATGACTGTTAAAATATGTAAATCATGACCAATTGACAATTTGAAAAGAAAACAAACAATATTTCACAAACAAAATTATTTTCATCTAACATTGCCATGAACTCTTTTACTAATTAGAATCTTGACTGACATCACATCACAACTTTTCAGCTGGATTGGAGTCAGGATGTGACACAAACTTAGCAGTTCTAAAATACACAATTTATATCATGTCAACCAGATGCCCATTATATTGCACTTACTTTAAAAATGTACAGTTACAGTTGTTTAATAATTCCAAAGTGTTCACAAACTGTTTTTCTAAATTATGTATATTGTCTCAGTGTGGACTAAATGGAATATGACTCAAAACTCGTTAGAAAATCAATAATGATAAGAACATTTAAACAGCAAGCTTGAAAAAGGTGTGGAACATTTACTTACGGCGTACACCAAACGCTTTCATGTTGTATTACTGTAAAAGTTGCTGTACAGAACAGTTAATTGGCTCAAAGGCTATCTTGCAGCTGTAATCATCTGTGAAAGATCATGACCTTATAAAAATTTAAAAAAGATGTAACTTGATCTCTCAAGTACATAAATGGAAAGATTTACAAACCATTGGGTAGAGACAAAAACAATAAACACACCCATGTAAGAGAGTGAAAATGTGTGTCCTGTTGTCATCCTCATTATACACCATGGTTACATGGACATTATTTTGAGTGATAATCAAACCTGTGTTTTGATGTATTATTGCCAATACACCCAGAAGTGTTATGTATACTCAAATTAAATCTGCTGAATAAATTCCAACATATTAAATAAATTTCCCACAAATGGAAAAACAGGTCCTTCAGATATGATCTGTAATATGTAGCAGTGGTGGACACATGAACATATCTTTTTTTTAAAATAATACCTTCTAAGCAAATACACTACTACTAGACACTACTAGACTAAGACGGGGAACATAAAAAAAAATTAAGGAAAAAGGCCACCAAGAATACACATACACATATGTTTTTCAACCAAAATGAGGACTTTCCATTGACTTCTGTTGTCATACTGAGAAGTATTTTCTATCTCCTAAACCTGACATGAACCCTCAGACAAACCTGTTGAGATCATGTAATGTAAAATATGATTTAGCTGATGTATGGGTATCTTAAATAGTAAGCACCATTTCAAATATTCTCACAAGTCATTTTTGTTGTTAAGTAGGTACAAATGCAATCACAACCACCTGAGAAGAAACAGCAAGGATGTCTTGACTTGATATAGATACTCAGAAATGAACTTGTAACTCCTTTACATGAAGCTTCCATTGACAGTTACACAATGATATCCTACCATCACCTTCACCTGGCATTCAAAGGTGAGAAGATCACTTATCACAACAATCACAACTATAGTCGATCAGATTATTGCTTACCCCATCGCATCACACACTTCCTGACTACTGATTCATTTTAAGCAAACACTGTGAGCAAACGTATTCAATAACGGAGGGAATGCTGAGATAATATGAGGTTCCATTTGTGTCAAAACTGAGTCGACTGCTTTGTGCTTTGTACTATACATTTGTTTTTGTCTACAGTCATTGCCTACTTGTTCAGGTAAATCAGTATATGTAGGCGTGTATGTTGTCTGTTGATGTCGTCTTAATCTGTCGTCCTGCTTGCTTTTTCTCTGTCGTTTAATTACTGTCGTCCTTATTGTTAATTTTGTTCTGTCTTCTTGTTCTGTCATCCTAACTGTCATCTTATTCTGTCGTCCTAACTGTCGTCCTGTTCTGTCGTCCTAACAGTCGACGACAGAACAGGATGACAGTTAGGACGACAGAACAGGACGACAGTTAGGACGACAGAACAGGACGACAGTTAGGACGACAGAACAGGACGACAGTTAGGACGACAGAACAGGACGACAGTTAGGACGACAGAACAGGACGACAGTTAGGACGACAGAACAGGACGACAGTTAGGACGACAGAACA